ACATTTAACTAGCTGTGTCCAAAACTTATGATCTAAAATTGAATGCATTCAATATTCCTCTGCTAAAAAATAACTCAGCACGTATGCATCTACTTCAGGTTTGATTGTACTGCACTTGGTATTACCATTGCTACAGAGCAGCACCATCAGATTGTACTTGCTGTCCTTATGCCAAACAGCTTGTTCAATAGATGGCAGTCTTTTTATATCATCTGTGAACCAAAAAAGAATCATAAAAGCTGTGATTTCACTAACAACTAGGGTTAGAACCAGCAATGCTAAATGGAAGGTTTAAATTTGAGTACAATGTTGGAACTAGTTTTTATGGCAGGGCTGTCATTAAGGGCAATAAGTTCACTTAAAATTATTAATGTGCCCAAAGAATTTGGGTTAAGGGACTTCAGTGCTCCATGCTTCCTCCCTCTGGATTTGCCATTGCAAACTTTGTTCCTTTTACAGGTCACATTCCAAAGGTTACGAGTACAGGTCAATGTTTATCGACAGGTAACTAAGTCAAACAGTGTCCCTCTCATTTTAAAACATATGGTTAGTGATTGCAACTAGGAGATACTCTTTGTCTTGTTTATCCATCACTATCACAGTGACCTGAACTTTGACTTGTAATTTCTCAAAAAAATTTACAAGACCCACTTCCACCTTATGCATTTGTGTATGCAAGGATTGCTGATATTTGCAGATTGCATGGTCCCATCATTCCCCTTAGACAAATCGCAGAGATGAACTTATGTTTGTATACAAGACCAGAAATCAAAATTTCTGATAGTAGCAATATTTTATAAGTCTGAAATGTCATCCGTCTCTGAAGCCCACCCCCTAATGGGCAGCAACGCGAGATGTCTCAATACCCAGCATTATAAATTAAAGCCGTTCTGTGATGTCACAGACTTTTGCAAAAATAGCAGTGTACAAACCATTATTACCTGCCTTTGTGATGATAAACTACTGCTTGCTATTGGCTCATGACGGTTTCAGCAAGTCATTTGTAATAAAGTGACGATAGGCTAAACATGACTCATAAGCTCATGATAGTGTGAAACGTGACCTTAGGTTATGTTAGGTTTTCTTGAACAAGAGAGATTTTCCTTCTTTTCTTTCAAGACTGAAAAGCACACTCATAGCTGCCAACTAGATATTTATGTATAATTACATAACTTAGTCTGTGTCTTCACAGGGTGGCATTAGAACACAGAGAATTTAGACATCTCTCTCGCCTTGCTGCCCAATGTTGTGTGGGGAGGAGGGAAGGATGACCTTTCAGACTAATAATTGATTTCATAATGATCCTGTACCAGGCACGATGGGCAAGTTTTGTAGGAGAGGGGGCATAATGGTTTGCAGTGATGTAGTTTTGCTCGGAAATTTTTATTTTACGATGCAGTATTGCGGTTTTACAATACCAAGCGGTTTGCGGTGTTTAGAAATTTTTAGGTAGTTTCAATGCTTGATTATTGGCTGTTTTATAATAGAAAGAGGTTTGTGGGTTTGAGAAATTTTTAGTTAGTTTTAAGACAGTTTTTTTTCGTTTTTGTTTGCAGGGTTTTTAGGGATTTTTGTACGGGTTTGCAGTTTTTGTGCCCCCCCCCCCCCCTTATGCCCCCCCCCACATGTAGCTTTGGATGTATGTAACCGGTAAGTGTAAAATGCAGACTGTGGACTATTGTTTACACAATGCAAATGAGAACGTGACAACAACAGTCCCGCTGTTTTCTAACCCTAAAAACAATAGTCCGCAGTCAGTCTGCAGTCTTCATTTTCCACTGCCCCGTAGGAAACAGAGGAAGTCATGCTGAAGACTAGACATGCTTGCTTACCTTTGGAAAACTGCTGAGACACACGCGGACGTACTCTCAACACACCAACCAATTCGAAAAGTTCAAACACCATCTGAGGTTTCAAGCTGTCACTGGAACGCGACCGCGAGTACAAAGAACTTCTTTCATCCGCTGACATAATTTTCAATGGTGTGCTTAAAATGAGCTGCTCCCAAACATTAATGTTTTTCAGCTGTTTCCAGCAGTTACATCATTTCAAAACGAATCATTTTCCATCTAAGTCAGATTTTCAAGTAAAATCTCTTAATGGACCTTCGTTCTACGAAAGGAGGCCAGTTTTAAATGCGAAGCTCCTCGTGCCTGTCTGCCCGCGATTGGAACTTCACAAAGCCGCCATATTGGATGAATGAGGGAGGTCTGGGTCTGAAGGCTAGTGCCAGAGTGTCAGAGGAGCCAGAGACTTTCAGGATCCTAGCGCGGTTTCCGGTTTCCGGTTTCCGTCAAGCCAGAAAAGCGAAAAAAGAAACGTTTTTTTCTCGCGGCTTCGGCCTTCAGCGAAACACCGAAAAGTCCTGCCTCACTCGAGAAATACATCTGGTACCTGGGGAAGAGACTTCCCCGAGCAAAAAGTAACCTTCGTACGTCACGTGTTCCCGCTAAACAACGGCGAACGAAAAACAAAATGCACGTATAACGGAATCAACAGTTTTGCTTTAGGAACGCAACGAAATTGGTGTACCTTTTTTTACAGACATCTTCATGCTATTTTTTTGCTATCACCTTTGGCCGTTGTGTTTTTTGGCGCCTTTACTGTTTTTTCTGCTGCGAGACAGGTCAGAGATCAGAAAACCAGTGCCTAAATCTGCCCACGTTTAATACAACGAAAGTCATAATCTCCACAAACTCCAAAATCGACCGAGGCAGCGTTTCTTCACGTGTTACTTAGTTTGGGGTAGTTGTATGGGTAACTTTTTACTACCGACCCTCTTTCAAAACTAGCCTGTAAACTACGAGTGACCAAAACTGATCCCTTAAGGAAAAGAAACCTGGATTTCATTTAGCAAAATTACCCAAAAAACTAAAATACTGCAGTGTCCGTATCGATGCAAAAATATACTGTAAAAGAGTTTTCACAAGGTCACTTTACAGAACTTCGTCTACAGGGATAAAATTATTATTCTATCAGATCCGTTATTAGCCATAATGGATTTTAGTAATAAAAATTGAAAAATCGTTAATTTCTATCAGACCCCTATCAAGATGTTTCTTTACAATCATAACTTGTATTTGTTGTTTTACAACTAATTTGAACACCAACTAAGACGAACTAAGCATCCCGTTTCGCTCTATTTCAGTGTAATTGTTCTTAGTAGATAATGACGTAAATTCACTATTTTTCTTTTTGCTATTAAAATGCAAATACAGCGCAACATTCTCACTTATTCATGAGGCGAAACATATTTTGCATTTGTTTGCTAGTAACATGCATGGCTTAGTTCTTAGAGCAGCTGAATTGTAGTCTGTTTCGGGCCGTCCAGCACGCGCTCAGTGAAGGAGCGAAATCAAGGAAAGCGATGCTCGAGTTTCGTATATTGCCTCTACACGAATTTATTCCTCATGTCGAGGACCAGAGGTTTCGAATTTAGAAGACCGTAAGTATTGAGAAATCTATATTGTATTCATCTACTTAACTGTGGTTCAACCCGATGTGCAAGATATTTATTAAGATAATTCAATCTTACGTATTTTAAAATTTAATCTTGCACAAATATGATCGACTTCAAACAAAAGTACACAAGGAATCAGTATAAGTACAAACCATTGCCCTCAAAACAAAAGCCATAACTAATCTAGCCGTGAGAGCAATGAATGATCTGGAATCTATAATCTGCGATGCAAACGACCTTATCATCAACTGTTGGCGAATAGTCAGATACATCGGACAAATTTCCTGCCAATCTCGCTCTATATCTGACGGTATATTGGATTGAATAGCTAGATTTTCAATCTGAACGCTTGGAACAGGCTAGTTTAAGATCTGCGGGTGATCAACTGGGCTAGTATATCAAATAAAATTGAACAGAATATGTCAAGTTCATCGGATAAAGAACTAAGCCACATAAGGAACTAAATTAAAACAATGAAATCAGTAAAAACGGAACACAAATTTTGTACCGGTACGGGAACTTGTAAATGCCTAATTACCTAGTTTGTCGTCATCAGGTACATTCAAGGTCTTTGAGGAGTGCAACAATTACATAAACCAAACAAGAAATATTGGGCTAACTAAACAAGTAATACCGCAAATGACACGGTCCCTAAAAATTTCAAGTAGATCAATAGACCTACTGGGGTTAATGTCGTGAGAAGTTCCTTAATTCTTTTGTTTGTGAAGAATTTAAGTTGATCACGAATCTTATAGAGTCGAAAGTTGTTCTGTTACTTCCGCTTTGGAGAGAACCTTTCTTGATCTGAAGCTTTGATGAACACGGAATATCCGGATATATTAAAAGATATACATTAACGTATATCAAAGTGGCGGTATCCGGTCTATGTTCGGTGACCAGGCCGGTTTCGCGGGAATTGCTGAGGAGTGTGTAAATCCCAATGAAACCTAACAAATGTCAATATTGTGGTCATTATTCTTAAACGCTTTTAATCAATGTGGCCCGGGTCCAGACAGTGTATATAGTACATAAGTCAATTTGTTGTCGGTTCGCGTCCATACTCCACAAAGATCAGGGTTCCTTCACCGGAAGAAGAAAAAAAGCCATCTATGACATCAAATTCAAGCTCTGAAGCGATTCCCGAGTCACTCTTGCAAAGGCCTCTAGATATATTTTCTTTAATTCGTAAAGGTTAGATTACTCTAGTTAGCTACAGAAGGCCATGCCATTACCTCTGGGGAGGATGGTTATCTACAAATGACCGTAGTCTTCATGGCAGGCGATTGAAAGGGAAGGGAAAGGGAGTTTTAGGCACGAGAGAAGGGCGCCAAAAATTCCCATTCCCTTCCCCTCCAAACGCCTGCCACGCAGGCTAAAATTAAGCTACAACTCACCCACCCCTCCCCCTCGCCAGCACAAAATTCACGTAGGTGACGACGATTGCACTTAACCAGAAGCATAAGCCTCGGCTTAGAACTTTCCTTTATTCCCCCTTTTTGTTCATTCACAGGCAAATTTGAACGTCCTCCTTTAGAGGGCCATGGGCAACTGCATCAATAGGGTGCCTCTGTTAGGATCCCCTTCAGAAGAGGACCAAGACGAGGCATGGAAGAAACAGACGCGTGGAAGGATAGAAAATAAACTTTACAGACTTGTGGACCTGAAGGGTCCCAATAGCAACACAGAACTGGTTCAAATCTGGAAAGAAAGTGGAAGACCAGGATTTATGAGAGAGCTTCAACGCAATGCAATTCTAATTCCTTATTTATATGAACGAGGCGAAGGAAAGGAGGTTACGGCTGAGGAGATGAAGGAATGGCAACATGAAAAGGGGCATGAGGTAAACAAATAAACAATGCGAAAAATAAACTTCTGTTAGGTTCGCTAATTAGTGTTTAACCATAAATAATCATACAGTGTCTACACTATACTCAACAACGAGAACCATCATCCGCAGCACGGTTAATTAACAGTGCCACAGGAAAGTACTGTCCAGTAGCTTTCGTTTGAATGGGCACACTTTAGGATTTCATCAACAGACTCAAAAGTTACAACCACCTTGTACAGCATAATAAACAGTACCACAGGAAAGTACTGCTCAGTAGCTTTCATTTAAATGGTCACACTTTAGGATTTCATCCACAGACTCAAAAGTTAGAACCACTTTGTACAACATAATAAACAGTACCACAGGAAAGTACAGTTCAGTAGCTTTCATCTGAATGGTCACACTTTAGGATTTCATCCACAGACTCAAAAGTTAGAACCACCTTGTACAGCATAATAAACAGTACCACAGGAAAGTACTGTTCAGTAGCTTTCATCCATCTATGACATCAAATTCAAGCTCTGAAGCGATTCCCGAGTCACTCTTGCAAAGGCCTCTAGATATATTTTCTTTAATTCGTAAAGGTTAGATTACTCTAGTTAGCCACAGAAGGCCATGCCATTACCTCTGGGGAGGATGGTTATCTACAAATCACTGTAGTCTTCATGGCAGGCGATTGAAAGGGAAGGGAAAGGGAGTTTTAGGCACGAGAGAAGGGCGCCTAAAATTCCCATTCCCTTCCCCTCCAAACGCCTGCCACGCAGGCTAACATTTAGCTACAACTCACCCACCCCTCCCCCTCGCCAGCACAAAATTCACGTGGGTGACGACGATTGCACTTAACCAGAAGCATAAGCCTCGGCTTAAAACGTTCCTTTATTCCTCCTTTTTGTTCGTTCACAGGCAAATTTGAAGGTACTCCTCTAGAGGGCCATGGGCAACTGCATCAATAGGGTGCCTCTGTTAGGATCCCCTTCAGAAGAGGACCAAGACGAGGCATGGAAGAAACAGACGCGTGGAAGGATAGAAAATAAACTTTACACACTTGTGGACCTGAAGGGTCCCAATAGCAACACAGAACTGGTTCAAATCTGGAAAGAAAGTGGAAGACCAGGATTTATGAGAGAGCTTCAAAGCAATGAAATTCTACTTCCTTATTTATATGAACGAGGCGAAGGAAAGGAGGTTACAGCTGAGGAGAAGAAGGAATGGCAACATGAAAAGGGGCATGAGGTAAACAAAAATTATCAATGCGAAAAATAAACTTCTGTTAGGTTCGCTAATTAGTGTTTAACCATAAATAATCATACAGTGTCTACACCATACTCAACAACGAGAACCATCATCCGCAGCACGGTTAATTAACAGTGTCACAGTAAAGTACTGTCCAGTAGCTTTCGTTTGAATGGGCACACTTAAAAGTTTCATCCACAAGCTCAGAAACTAAAGCTACCTTGTACAACATAACAAACAGTATCACAGGAAAGTACTGCTCAGTAGCTTTCATTTGAATGGTCACACTTCAGGATTTCATCCACAGACTCAAAAGTTAGAACCACTTTGTACAGCATAATAAACAGTACCACAGGAAAGTACAGTTCAGTAGCTTTCATCTGAATGGTCACACTTTAGGATTTCATCTACAGACTCAAAAGTTAGAACCACCTTGTACAGCATAATAAACAGTACCACAGGAAAGTACTGCTCAGTAGCTTTCATCTGAATGGTCACACTGAAAGATTTCATCCACAGACTCAAAAGTTAGAACCACCTTGTACAGCATAATAAACAGTACCACAGGAAAGCACCGTTCAGTAGCTTTCAAATTGATGCCTTGATAATGGTCTCAAGAACAACTGCTCTTTCTTCATTTTATAGTGTTGAAAAAAAAATTATAATTTATCTATTTTATCAGTAGCCATTCCTGACATACAATTTTTTCACATACTTTTTCTTGTACAGTCCAATAAACACGCAGTGAAAAACGAAGACGATTCAGAACACACACCCCGCAAAGCGTGCTGGTCTCTTGTGCACCGTGGTACCCTGGGAGAGACAGCATTACACTTGTGTTTCTTAAGCAACAATCCAATGATGACCAAGATAGCACGGGCGCTATTAGAACTCTACCCCGCGATGGCATTTGACCAGTATGAGGGACAAGAATATTACGGTGAGTGGAATAAAACATTAGAGCCAAGGACGTTCGTTAGCTTTCAGTTGCGCAAATTGCCACGTACTTAAATTTACCCCGTATTCACCATTTTCACATAGATCATAATGCACCATGTTTACCTCAAAATGTTGCCTAACCGTTGGTTGTCTTTTGTTTTTTCTTGGGACGACTGTAATGCCCTGGAGAAATTGGAAACAATGCATGGTAATGAAAAATTGTTTCAGGAGGAAACAGGGTGCATTATGGTCGATATGGAAATGGGGAAAAATCTAGCAAACAAAGTTGATATCATCTTACATAACTTATAGAGAAGCGCTAAAGAAAACCGCTGCTAAAGTACTATCGCGAGACTAGTAATTAGTGAAGCACTGAATTTCAAACTAATAAGTTTTTACTTAAAATGTCCTTTTTGATGATTGAAATAAGATCATATCAGCAATCACTTTTTAAGGAAATCTATCTCGCGAAGATTTTTAATGTGGTCGATTCTCTTAGCAATGCTTTTGGTGCAGGAAAGTTTGACAATAAGATAAGACCCAAAGGAGTTAGACGCTCGTACCACCGTAAGCTGCGAAAATTGTTGCGCCCTTTTTCCGTAAAACTGGACGAAGAACATGACTCCGCAACTTACAGAACAAACAGAGAAAAGGCAGAGGAAACATACTGGCAGCAGAACGGATCGATAAATTTCAACAATGATAAATACAACACAATACTACAGTCCCGCCACCAGGGGGAAAAAGCTTTGATCCTTTAACGCTTTTTCAGGTGAGACATCGGTGCATATCGTGATAGTCAACGGAGATCTGCATTCGTTAAAGCTTCTGATTGGTCGATGTGGCGCTGATGCTAACGCACGCGCACAAGGGAGGTTTTTCATGCCAGAAGATTGTAAGGATAAAATGAAACAGGTTACCGACTATGAGGGTAAGTGCCACAGGATCACCAGTTTTCAGATTTTACATCCTACCAGTTCTACCCACCTTAAACGGTTAGAAAACTCACGAAGAACAGGAAACTTTAAAATACTGCGCTTCCAGTAGAATGGTAACGTTACATTCTATTCCAGAAATTATTCAAGAAATCACACCGAATTTCTCTTGATGTGATTGTAAGAAACGCTAAGAATTTCTTCATTTTGTTCCTCCCATATCATTTTCGTATTCCTTCCTGATCTGGTGAAATTGATATTTTATAAGACATTCGAATCCAAAGAGCTTTGAATTAAGTACATAAGAGTCACGCATTCCACCCCGTCATGCTTAGTCGATCGAACCAACCATAATCACAAGGTGCAAGCTAGGATTACATTCTAATCAAATTTATCCCTTGTTCTATATCTAAACCAACTTGCTTGTAACAAACAGGTTATGCCTATTATGGTGAATACCCAGCATCCTTTGCAGCTTGTTTTGAAAACAAGGAGATGTACGACTACCTTATAAGGAAGGGAGCCGATCCCAATAAACAAGACACATTTGGCAACACCGTATTACACCTGTGTGTTATACACAATAAAATCGTAAGTACACGCTTGACTTAACCGGCTTACCAATAATGTATACGCTTGCATTTCTTGTCAGCTAAGATAAGCATTATCATTGAACCGGGACGATCGTCAATGCGGAACAGTTTTCCAGACATAAACAAAAGTCTCGCTTAGTTTCGTGGTTAAGCAAAATTTCGAATAGTCACTGTCAAATGAGGTTTTCTCCGAAAACAAAAGCTTTCATTCTTTAAAGTTATTTTTCGCTAACTTTATTTTTGCTAATTCTTTATAATAAATTCTCTTTTCCACCACCCCACTCCTCCACAATCTTCCGTAAACTATTATTTTGAAATGCTCCTAGGAGAGCTGAATATTCCCAAGACCATTTGAAAACAATAACTCAGTTGTGCAAAATTATTTTTGAGGCGAGGGAATGTTAGGCAGAGTGTATTATGAGGGATTCGAAAATGGTCAATTGCTCAATCATGTTTGGAAGTTTCTCACGATACCCCTAAAGATTTAGAAAGTTGCTTCATAAACCATTTGAAAGTAACAGCCGATACGTCGTTTGCACAAAGCAACTCTACTATGTACATGCAGTACCTTACTTGTCGCATAGTTGCATCAAGAGATAAAATTGCTTAGATTTTCCTCTTCTACGCCAGGAACTATCAATGAGTTCTCTTTCCATTTTTCTTTCGTTTTATAGGACATGTTTTTTCACGCTACTCGGAGAAAACACAAGATTCGAGGCGATCCATTTGTCAGGAATAACCAAGGTCTAACCCCGCTGACATTAGCGGCCAAATTAGGGAGAAAAGAAATGTTTCATGAAATTCTTGAATACCAGAGCATGGTAAGAAAGCATCTGATAAAAGAAAAAAGATCGCCCAATAAAGGTTATGTTACACGAGACGATTCGCAACGACGATTTTTAGCGCAACACAGCGTTACAACATTGTTGGGACGTTGTTTCGAATTGTTGCAACATTGTTCCAACATTGCAACGCTGCGTTGCGCTAAAAATAGTCGTTGCGCACCGGCCCGTGTAACATCACCTTAAACTCCACCTGTGTGAGCCTCGAGTCGAAGCAGTAAAACTGGAAGAGCAGGCTTGCATTTTTTTTTCAAAAAGATGGCAAAACTTAAGTTTTTCAACTGGTCAACAGATTTGCTACCGCGCATTATGTTCAATGTGTTGTAGTATGGTATGTTTTCTCGCGCTAAGCCCTGGTTTACACGTACGACGCAAGTGCAAACGCAAGGTAAAGACACAAGACAGATTCCATCGGTTCCATGCCATCACGGCTAAGTAAAAAGAACTTGGACTGCTCATGCGAATATGCTTTCCTTGTGTCTGCGTTGGAAGTGTAAACAGCATTGCATGTTCATTTGCGCTTGCGTTTGCACATACGTCGCACGTGTGAACCAGGCCTTAACAGCAGCGCCATATTTTCCATTACTTAGCGGCGGTGCTAAAGTTTTCCCGCGCTTTGTAGGGGCAGTATTAAAAGAGATTTTAAAATTTTTTTATGGTTGTTTCTAACAGGAATACTGGTCTTATGGACGCATGACTTGCTCAGGGTACCCGCTGGATAGTTTAGATTCTGTCGACAGAAATGGAAAGTCAGGTATGCGTGTCATCAACGAGATAAAAAAACGAATTTGCACTGACTTTACCGATGATACTAACAAACGTAGCTAATAACTATTTATTCCTAAATCCTGATTTATCTTCCTAGCCTTACGAATATGTGTTAAACTTGTGCGGCCATCCCGGGCGGTGATGATGGAAGAGGATGAGGAGGGGCAATCCTTCGGATAAAGGAATAACCCTGGGGAAGGGAAAAGCCGGAACTTTCCCGCTTCTCGCAATCAGTAGTAACTATTATATGATTTCTCTTATTTCCTTCCCAGTTTACCTCACATTATCTCATAACATTATCCCGAAATTCTGTTCGCTTTCTTTCGTTCTATTCCTCCTTTCTGCCCTTCTTGTCCCCATCTTGTTACATCTTTATTAAATCGATTGTCTTCTTTTTCATTTAGATAAAGACTCAGCACTGTTAATCACACTAAATGGAAAGACGAATGAACATCTAGACATGTTGAACAGTGGGATCATCTATCGGCTTCTTGAGGAGAAATGGACAACTTTCGCTAGGGTTAGAATCAAGGCTATGTCGCTTTCAATATTGTAGGCAGGCAATGCGTACAGATCAAGGCATAAAGGAACTGTGTCATGAAATCAAAACTCAAACTGTGGGAAACGCCACCATTCTGAGTGAAACATAAAAATAACAGCTCAGAACATGAAAAAAATTATTAATAACACAGCAAATACAAATTGAGGCACGGATGGAAAAACTTGAAGACGATTGACACGGATTGCAATTGTGCTTTTTGAAAAGGTTTAAGCCTAACAAGTTCATTTTTGTTGCTTGTTGTGTTTATAGCACTACTTAAGAGGTATATTTGTTCAAATTTTTCAAGTTCCAAAGCGAGAAAGGACGCACAATTGCCATTATTAACAAATTGAACCAGACAACCGTGAGACAACCCCTTTAAATGCTGGTGTGAAAAAGGCGACGAATAGCAGCCGCTGGGCATGCATAAAGGCAGCAAGGTAAAACCTACTTAATTCGCTAAAGTGGTTTTCCCTTCTTCTTGCAGGGCAAGTTTTACAGACGTCTGTTATTTGCGGTTCTGTATCTTCTGGCTTTTAGCTTATCCATCTATTATCGTCCGAGGCATCTGGATTTTTTGAGAATAGAAAACGGCGATGATGTAGTAAGGAAACCTTTTTGTTTTCTACTACTATCGCAGGAACCTCTTTGCTAATGTAATATAGTCTCTTTTCATGAACCTTTGATATACTAGAGTGTTCAAAGCCCACTATTTTTCCGTAAGAAGGTCGAGATCGAGCGCTTTGCGTTATGCACAGGCGCCATCTTGGATGAGTGTCAAATCTACTCAGGACCCTGGGGAATGAAACCAAGACGGCTACCCGTACCGAAAAGCGCTCGATCCTGACGATCTTATGAAAAAATAGGGGACTGTGAACAGTCTATTGATATATCTCAATTCAAAATAATAGAAACACAATTTGATAGAATACTAGCAAAAAGCAAAACAGAGGCCACTCACGAATTTTCGACAGTCATCCACTCACTTTCAGATACAACGACCTGACTTCCGGTGGATAGATGGACGATGGGTGAAAACGCACTTGACCCGTTAGATCAAGCCAAGCCGTAATGCAGTGATGTGTGGATTCGTATCTATGGTCCTGGGCTGGCAACCCTGTGATCGACTAGCATCTCATCTAAGGAAAATTAGCAATATCAGAATATACTCCTGCGTGTGGAAGTCTGGTGGTTTATAAGGAGGTAGACAGCGCTGGTAGCCTGCAAATACAATCACCTTTCATTGCTTCCCATTGCTGGGGATGATTTGCGAGTTAACATTGATTTGCCTCATCACTATGGGATGTTTGAGGTCAAAACGCAGACGTCTCTCTAGCAAACATCAGCGACGTGGAGCGGTGACAATCGGCTGAAAACGCTGGCTCATAAGGATGCAGCGTACCCCAGTGGTCAGCGAGTCGGCCTCGGAATTTGTCAGCATCAGGTTCAAATTCAAATTCTGCTCTGACAACTCGCTGGATTTGCTTCGTGGTGGTTCCGAATTCAAATCCTGGGCCATGCTTATAAATAATTTACTGGTTGCCTCCTCCCTGTTTGGTTTTTAATCCTGTTTATGTTATATATACTTGAAATTATTTGAGTGGAGAGCCTATGAATTAGCTACCAACCAAGACCACTTTTACTATAAACAAAGCATATACCAAGTAATTTCTAATGTACCCTTTGTTTTTCCAATGCTCTTAAAGAGTTGATCCATCGACCGTTAATTTTTATATTAACGACCGCGCAACACAAGAATGAATTAACGCAAATAGAAATGAAAGCAAAGCGTTTTTTGTCAATTTCCAGTTCCGTCTGGTGGCTGAAGGCTTCACTGTCCTTGGCGCAATAATTTACTTAGTATTGGAAATCAAAGATGTGTTGATTACCCAAGGAATCACAGCTCAACTAATTACACTGGTAAGTTTACTAAGTTATGCAAGATTATCTCAGTCTAAATTAGACTCTTCACTCCCCTATTCTACCTAAGATCGTCGGGATCGAGCGCTTACCGATCATCTTGGTTTCAAATCTACCGAGGGGGCGGGCCCCGGGGTTGTTAGAGGTAAGGGCAAGAGGGGTTTCCTCCGAAACCGTCCGCCGCCCGCCAAAGTAGACTCGGTACAATTGAAACCAAGATGGCTGCCCGTACTGGTGGGTACTCGACCCCGACGATCTTAAGGAAAAATAGTGGACTGTGAACAGTCTTCTCCACGTCAGAAAACCTTAGGTATCGGATTCGGAAGTATTTCGGTTGCGCCTCTAGTAAGGCAGTAAACCTGACACGAAGTTTGACCCATTTTCCTATGCAATTTTGCAATCGCCAATGAGAGAAGCGATAGTGTCCCTAAAAGAGACCCATAGTGCAATTCGATACAACTAGGACCCAGTTACACGCTGAGCATCAGAATGGCCGATTACATCAAAGTAATTCGAAAAAGAACATCCACTAAGGCGTTTACCGGCAACGTCTCCTGGGTAAATATGCGTAACTTTGTCATTTCGACGCAGGGAAAAAAACGACATGAAGCAAGGAGTAAATCTTACCTGGCCTACGTCAAGAAGACAAACATAAAAGCAAGTGACATAGGTATACCAACCCAAGGCCTGGCCATGCATGCGCCCACGCATGCGCAGAGCCACATCGCCTAAGCAGTGACAGCTATTGACAGCTGTTTCCCCCTTATCATGACTGACACTGCCCGACTGATATGGCTGTGTGCATGCGTGAGCTACAGGCCAAGCCTTGGGTTGGTTTACATGTGTCACTGGCCTTTAAGTTTGTCTTACTCCACCTCAGACAACCTAGCAGTTATCTACACTGTGGATCAAGGTGATGTGGTATTAATAATTTGTTGATCAGTTGAATGATAAATAGGGTTCGTGCATAAGCCGTGGTTTCGCATAACCGTGTTGTATTCTTAGCTGATCATATGTCATAGTCAACAGTTTCATTGGTATCAAGAACGTGCCTTCCGAAATAATGATTCCTGACCCAAAACAGGAGCCCAAAAACTACACTAATTACCGACGGCCAGGGCGTCATAGTTTCACTCTAGTTACGCCCTGTCCACCGTATGTTACTTGCGAGTGTTTACTTGAGTATTGTGTAGCCGCTTCTTGATTTTTATTTTTACAGAATACTGAATTATCGATCTTGTGTTCATTGGGTTCCTTATTGCGTTACCTTATTCCATCCTTATTTTTCTAGCGTGACGCTCCAGGCAAATCTCTTTTCCTTGTATCCTGTATACTGGTCATCATTGCGTTACCATGCCGTTACCTAGGTCAACGAGATGCTGAGACAACGATGATGATTCTGGCCGCTCCAATGGCCTGGTGCTATCTGCTGTTCTTCTGTAGGTAAGTGGACAAGTCCTCTGCTTAACCAGTTCTTTACGTTTGTCACGTAACACTCCGAGACAGCTGACGTAGATCAGCATGTGCGCAAAACAATAATTTCATATCTACGATTTCACTCTGTCTGTAAGTGTGAAGTCTGGCTGTAGTTGATCTGGGTGCGAGAATGATGGGGGAGGGAGGAAGAGGGGTACTAAGGGTCGATTACTGTGTGCAGGCAGGCGTTCAAAATGGCGTTCCCTTCCCTAACCCCGGGGGGGGGGGGTACTGCCATATATGGGCTATATAGGTATGTGCCGCTGTGAAGGGTATGGTTTTCAAGCAGTTTACTCTAGGATAGGGTATATAAATCAGAGCGTTTGGCTCTAGAATAGGGTATCATTTTTCAGGAAACTGATCAGTTGGTTGAAGATTTTATCTAGACTAGGTACAAAGCTACTCTAGGATAGGGGGATTTGGGGAGTTTACTCTAGTATAGGGTATCATTTTTCAGGAGACTGATCAGTTGGTTGAAGATTTTATCTAGACTAGGTACACAGCTACTCTAGGATAGGGGGATTTGGGGAGTTTACTCTCGTATAGGGTAGCAAAATTCAGCTGAACTAGTTCTGGTAAAGGTTAAGGGTTCCAGGCTCCCAGCGGCACATCCCCACCCAGAAATTCCTAAAGTGCCCCCCCCCCCCCGGGCCCCTAACCCATTCTTTTCAAACGACGGCCACGTTGGTTAGTGTTTCAGCTTTCTTAGAAGGGATTTTCTTCAATGGTTTCGTTTTGTTTTTCAGAGGTTTTGGAGCAATCGGTCCTTTTGTAAATATGATATACAGAATGTGCGCAGGAGACATGTCAAGATTCTTTATCATTTATATTATTTACGTAGTGGGACTCGCACAAGGTGAGCATGTGCATGCATTAGAATGTAATTCAGTACCCAGGGGCCTAGGTACCAAAGGTTATTTTTCTCGGGAGCGGCGGGATACATCGTAGTCGGCCGACACAACTTCAGCCAAAGGCCGAAATTTCGAGCAGAGAAGCTGCCAGAAATAAAACCGCTGGTACTGCACGGTAAACATAAATAATTGTCTGTAACTGGAAACCGCACAGAAAACTCCATGGCACCCAGCGTTTTATTTTAGTAGGAGAAAAAGAATTGCTAAGCCATACTATAAGCTACAAGAATCAATAGAGTATTGAATTCGTTCAGACAGACGAGGAATTTGCTTGGGCAGTTTCCTGGGCAGTTTGATGAACCAATGATTGAATAGTTCGGTAGCCCGGCAAACTTTCACTCTCCATGATCATGAAATCAGAATCTCACTAAAATTAACCAACCTCGTTCCCAGGGCTTCTCTTATTTCCTTTCCTAATTTCTAACGGAAAAGCCCTGCGAACGAGGTTTGCAAATTTACAGCACCTTTTTACAATGTTTCCTCTTCATTTTCCTTCACAGCATTTTCCTACGTGATGAAAGGAGTAGAGGGCTATCAGAATGAAGGCTATACTATTATGACACTAATGCGCATGACATTTGGGGAGTTCGATGTAAGTTTTAGCTAAAATATAGCTGAAATGTTTTCTTCAACGTTGCGCCTTGTTATTGGTTCTTTCAAGGTCATATGACCTTAAACAATGGAATTTTTTCCGGCCAAAATCTCACTGACTGGCAACATTCAGGCAAACTCTTTGATGTTCCTGGGGCCCAGTCTCTCTTGAGTTAATGTCGACGTAAAAACAAAATATCAATTAAAATATCTTGTGGCACTGTCTTTGTAGCAAACTCATTTGGTGTCCCTACTTTTTCCTTAATCACTTTTTGTGGCTGACAAATGCCTTTTGTTTCTCCGCAGTTTTTCCAATTCGATAAGTCCCGGCATCCAACGTTGGCAAAATTGTTGTTTTTCTACTTCATGTTGTTTGTCACAGTTTTACTCATGAACATGCTGATCGCCATGATGGCTAACACCTATCAGAATGTAAGTGTTACAGCTTCACTCAAGCTCCAGAAAAAAAGTTGTGTTCGCCAATGTAGCTTGATAGGAATTTTGTAAAAACATTGGTCTGACACAGTTAGGTTGGGGCCTTTTTTTCTTTTCCTTTTTTTTTTACATCGCCTTTTACCTGAGTAAAAATAAAACTTGATGAGTAACCGCTTCTTTGCGAGATAAGTTATTGACGGACGTGACCATAGAAACATTATAACTTCTCGCCTCAGCCCGCATGTCAGGTACCGGTTATCCGGATTCTGGAATCCAAGAAATTGTTGCTTGTGGAATCCTTGATCCTGGAAATTTTTGGCTTGTAAAATCAGGAATCTTGGACTTTGGAATCTGGAATTCAGCTCCAGGAATCCGGAATCTAAGTTCCACTGACAAGGATTGCGGATTCCAGTACCTGGAATCCGGAATCCACAGCGTCGAATCCAGAATTCACGACTGTCTTGAGCTAGCTAACATGGGGCAAGACTAGCCTGTTAGCAAGCTCTCCATGTATGGCGAGCGAAGCAAGCCGCGAGAGAACGCGCAAGCGAGCGGCAACAGCGTGCTACTCTCGCGTGACTTCTCGCGACTCCCCCAAATGGAGAGTCTGCTAGCAGGCAAGGCGCAAGACTTGCAATCCTCTTCCAATCTCATGGCCACCTACAACATGGGCAGTTGCTAACTTCAGCTCATGAATAAAGTCATGTATCCACAAAACTGAGCCACTGTATTTCTATTTTTTTTGTGATAGATTGAAAAGATTAATATTCTCTGAGCTTTTCACAAAGATAGTAAAAACTGGCGAAAAAGCGTTTCAACTCCAAAATGTCCTCATAGAAATTTTCCAGACTGATAGGTTCCTCATATTTTCTTAAAGAATAAGGTGAAGGAAATTGTATAAAGAGCAAAGCATTTCTCATGCTGATCTGCTCATCACAGCAGTAATTCTTATAAGCTTTTCTGTTAGGTTCGTTACTCATGGCTTTTTTGGGAGCTGAAAAGGTGACTATAATTTTTTTTTTGTCCTCCAGATTTCAGATCGTTCAGAGAAAGAATGGAGAAGGCAGGTAAAGGTTTTCAACCAATAATTTGAATAGTCTGACCATAGAGTTTCGTCCGCAGACTCAAAATTTATAAACACGTTTCATGTCTTCATAATTGACTGTGGGAGTGAAAAAATGCAATCATCTTATTTTCCAGTGGGCGCAAATTATCATGGTGTTAGAGCGTTCCGTCAAACCGTCAGAACTGAAGAAACTTCAGGACGATTACTCGGTCGATATGGCTCCAGAGGGGATTGAGGAGAGACGGAGAGGTCTTATGGTGATTAAAAAGAGCAGTTTGCCGAGTAAAGCGGACAAGCGTAGAACCGCCATCTTGAATTGGCAGGTATGGGTAATAATTTGGGCTGGTTTAATATATGGTATCAGAACTGTTTAAAGGTTAAAAACTAGAGGTACGGTAAACATTGATCAAGGATCCGCGTTCGTCACTTACGGAAAAATTACGGAAACGAAGTCGAGTCGAAAGGAGCCCAGTTTCCCGGCCGAGGTGCCCTGATAAAATTAATAGGGGCGGCTAATTTGCAGTCGTCCGTGATACTCAAAAATTATTTCCTTAGTGCCACAGGAACACCAGATTAGGATGCGTTTTGACGACGCGATAAGGAATGCGGCTATGTTCAAATTTTACCGAATAGTTTTCGCGCCAGCACGAAAACCATACTAGAATGGGCTTCTGTTCACGCACAAGAACAGTGATTTTGGCGCGAATTCTATGACGGAGCGAAGCTGCGGCGCGCAGATCTCGAAATTGGATCATAACATATGGGATAGGTTCTGTGCCACGCTTTAGGTGTAATGTGAACAGGTATCAGGGACCGTAGCGGAAGTGAATAAGTAGGAGCAGGGAGGACTGGAATCCACTAAGACGGAGGTAAATATTTAGGAGTCAAGGGAGTCAGGACTGAGGTTTTGTTTACCAAATCCCCCTCGGCCAACCGCTCGGGCACGATGTTGGATATTTGTGAACGACTTGTTCCACTTCTTTGCCGTTGCTGTTCACAGTATAACTGATAGCTTTTAGTGTCGGCACGAAAGCTGTCCGGTAGAGTGTGAACAGAGCTTCAGGTGACCGCAAACCTGACATGAAGGCTTTCGAAAGAAGCGGGAAAGAATGTCTGATTAGCTCCTATTGAAATAGTCACGCTTAGGGTTTTTTTGTTCCCATCAAATTTAATTCATAACCCGATTAAATTACCTTGGTTAAAGCGTCACCGAAATAGTTGTGATCTTCTACCTTAAATCCGCTTTAAGTTAAAAATGTACCAGATAAAGAAAATTGTTTCCCACTTAGCTTAGTAGTTATATGATCAACTTATAAGCCTGTACCTACCTGACAGAGTTAAAGAAACACTGAGAAGACTCTAAGAAGAATATTTTGGATTGTATGTAGTAAACGTCATAAACGAATTTATATATAAACAATATCCCCTAATTAAATTTTACTCTCTTTAAAGTTTACTGTACTTTGAAGAAGTATTACAGTGTATAAACAAATACATATCCCTTAACTGCAACTGAGAACACTTTATAAATCATAGCTTACGTCACTTTTTGATTCTTTATAACAAAAACGCTTGAAAACACCCGGTTATGTCAACAGTTTATTGCGAAAAACTGATCTCTGTGAAATGCGAAATGTGTTAAAAAGATTTTCTTTTGTGCTTTACGTATATAGTAAATTTTTAATTCAACTAAGGACAGAAGTAAACCGGCTAAATCGCTATTAACTTAATTTGTTGTAATTTAACCTCAACTTTGAACATTTAACGCCAGAATCTTCTCAACGATTTGGAAGTGCAAAGTTTAATGGCGACGGACACAGGTAAAGTCCTTGAGTATTGCATGTGTCCACGTGGAAGGCACTCAATATTGCACATCAATAGTATGAGCACACTGAACACTATGATTTATAATTCATTGCCCTAATATATAGATTTAGTCAAGGCTAAAGGCGAAGCACCCATTAATAAATTTATAATTTACTTCAAGCAATCAACTTGTAACCATTACAAAGAAATCTACTCAGAGTTGAGCCTGCGATCAGTTAGAAACTAGTAACTTGTCAACGGATAACTTCAAAAGAACACATAACCTCTATAGGTCGACACCTGTGCCCGCGATACGGTCAACTGATACTGGTCAACGAATACCCTGTTTTTGACAGCTGTCAATTGACCACGACGTGAAAGTGCAGTATCAGGTTGCAGGCTCCCACACTGGCTAGAAAGTGTGAGATTTCACATTGGTTTCCCTGTGGTGCGGACGGACGTCAGTCACGGCACAACCAAAAATTCTCGGATGAATATATAGCCAAATTTTGTTAACCAGTGGGTTCTGTTTGCGTGGAGCTCCGCTATTTAAGCAATAGAAAACGTTTTCCGTGTTTGCATAGCCTGATATAAACACGAGAGGGGTTGGGAGAATTCGAGACAGTTATGCAAACCCGAGACGAAGTCGAGGGTTTGCATAACCTTCCCTAGAAAAAAACGCAAAACTCTTTGTATGGCACTGATTAAAAGAAAAATTCTTACCAGTCGCAAAATCTTGTCCACGAAGTCTTGCACGCGTAATCAGTTCTTGTTTTACAAAAAGACGCTCTGCAAAATACGGATTTTTCTCGATTAAAACGTCAGCTTTTTACATACTCTCATGCAAACACTCCTCTCGGCCAATCAGAGCGCGCGTACTATCTTAGTTATTTTATAAAAGAACATATAACGATTACTTTAGAGATATACCACATCACCTAAACCTCGTCAGTTTAAAATAAGGAAATAAGTTTTAAACCGTGGTCATTGGCTTTTGTTCCGGGGAAAAAAATCGTGACATTGGAATTGTCTGAGTCCTCACAATTTAACTGTAGGTCTTATTTTAAATGAGTAGTCAATGAATCTCAAAAATTGGAACAGATGAGAGAAATGCAATCAAACAACTGATTATATTGGAGGGAAGTACACAAAATTTGCCCCCCGTTGCTGGCAGACGCGTGCTGGAATCCATAGCAAGATTAACCATGGAAAAATGTACAACCGCTGCTTAATACGTAAGCAATCAGTCCAATCACACAAACGTTGCTGGTCAAAGAGACTCGTAGACAGAAAAAATGGGATTGGTACCACCCTTCTGGTACAACGCAGCGGGTGCCATGCATGCGCAGTAATAACATCCTTGATATCGTCGATAAGTACCCTCACTCTATAAACAATGGGGCTGGTATGATTTTGACGCTAAACTTGACACATTTAGGTAACTGCTAAAACGATAAGTTTGAACGGTGTATCTAAAACTTAATACACCTAACATGATTGTCATAAAACTACTGCTTTCAGGAGTTTAGGTGCGTAGTAAAACCTATACATCTGGCAAATGTACTATTAGTTCAAATGTTAGTAACTGTTTAGTACATGAATGCATGTTTTATAAAAAACACATCTCAATCATTGACCGTTTTCTTGTGGATAAAAATTATTAACTGATGCCTCAATGTCTAATAAGAAGTTGATTGGCACACGATACTGTGCACTGTGCATATTTTCGCCTCTTTCTACTCAGGCATGGCTTGACTGATAGAGCGTTCATTAATTTTCCATGTTTTGATATTTAAGGGCTTTTATAATTTTTTTTTCACAGGTTCTGGGAGTTGACTCGGTCAAGAATAGGCTTCAAGAACAAGCAACGCAAAAGCGGCAAAAACCACTTACAACAGTTTCCACTTGAATATCACTTGGTCATACTCATGCCGGCAATACAACACGGGAAAAACATGCCAATGACGCGTGAGCTTTGTTAATAAGGAAGGAAAACAAAAGCGAGGCTACGCCATTTACTATGTTATTGGATAAGTATGATACAACAAAAAAACAGAAAAAATTGAAAGAGAGGCAATGCACCATAGTGGCTACGTGATTGTCATGTGCAAGTCATGAGCATGGAAGTGGTGCATCATGTGCACCTCACGTCAGTTTGGTAGAGAACTGTTGTCGCATTATGACCATTTATATAAGAAGTACACTACTATAAAACCGTAACACTTGAATGAAAGCAACGGACCAACAGTGGTTTACATTCGAAGATATAATTTAAGAATTATTAAACCGAGGAAATAATTATTCTATTTATTTGACAGGCTTAAGTAACGCTTCATTTCTTACAGGTGAGGGATTGCCTGATAGACGATTTGTATCAATCATAGTCAAGTATTATTTTTATGCAACCGTAAAAAACATTTTGTAACCATCACACACTCACGTTTTTTTAAATTGACAAAATGCGTATCTAACCGTCAAGTTCGGTTGAAAGAAACAAAAGGGAAGGATACATTTTTTTTTACTGAAATCAAGAGAATACAGTCAAACCCAAAAAAAGGCATAAGAAATATTTATTCGGCACTTGTCCCATTTATTTATTTGTTCATGAACACAAGTGTTGTTCTTCCTTTTTGTTATACCCCACTCCAGAAATTATAAGGGGAATGGATACAAGCTTTCGGCGCAAACATTTCTGGGATTGTCAGGGTAGACAAGCGTTACTTATGATTGGTTATATAATAGTTGCTTTGAGCAACATCGACCAATCATAACTAACGCTTGTCCACCCAAACAATCCCAGAAATCATTGCCCTCAAAGCTTTCACCCTTTCTTCCTAGGAATTTTAAAATGGAATTGAAGCGGCTGGATCACATCTATCGCTTGTTTTTGTCTTTAGAAACTGAGAGATGGTCGGTCTTAATCGACAATACCTGGCTTATTTTTGCACCAGGCACTCAGGTCAAAAGAATAGCGGCTCTAACAGTACACTAACATTTCTAAATTTAAGTGACAGGATAGAAGCTGATCAAAAATCATTTCCAAAATTCTTGAAATAAAACTTCAAAACTTGTCGTCTTTGTGTTTTTTTCTTCAATTTCTCTTGGGTCCTCGAGCACCCAATAAATGGGTTCTTTAACGGAATTCTCAGAGGGGAACTTGTCACAAGCATTCGCGTTTACACTTTTGAGTTCTTTTACGACATAGTACATAGGATCTCGGAGGGTTCCCGAAGTACTTCGGATCCCCTCTTTTGCGGCACTTTTCTCGGGAACGTGATAGAATGGTTCTCTGGTCTCTTCTACTTGAGTCAAACTTTTCTGGCACCCATGCTCTCGCTGCTCGCTTTGGTCGAGATCTTGGTAGGACGCTGGATCGGTTGCGACCAAGCGAGAGGCCTCTCCGCGTTCAGCTACTGGCCTGAGATACCCAGTATTCCCCCCTGGTGCCCTAGTGTTCTCTACCAGGGGCTGGTAGGGGGGTTGATAAGATTCTTGATCAGCGTCTTGCTGTGGGGATGAATAAGATGAGGGAAGGAGTTGAGGGCCAATCTGATACGAAGGATTACCTGTGGAAAAATTTAAGGGTGGTTATTTAAACGGAAGTCTAACTTAGGCCGCGGTTTAGCAAATCTCTGGACCTCCAGATATATTCCTTAGTGGGTTATTTTAAGAAAAAAAGTGATTTTCCAGCCTAGGCCCTAAGCTTTCATGAAGCTGTCCACGATAAATGGTGTTAAGATGAAAGCGTTGGGCAAGGTAAAAAAGGCTTAGAACGCGGTTTTCTTAAGCACTGGCTAAACCCCGTTTAAATAACTGGCCCTTAATGTTTCTGATACGTCAGAGAAACAGTGTCTCGCCGGTAAGAAAAAAAAAAGTGAAATATTTTCGTATAAAAATGACTAGTTTTTTCATACGTACTTGCAGAGTTTTCGACTTCAACTGATGAATTTCGTCTGTAAAGTTTAAACAACTCATAGTTAGCTTTTGGAAACTGGATAAGTAAGACCTTCTAGAGTAGTAGAATTACTTACTACTTTTTGCAGCAACTACTACACTGTGTAAGCAAGGATACGAAGACGACTACGAGGACTAGATTTTCCCAATACTTAGCAGTGCGCTCGCGCGTGAACCCGCTTCATTTTGGCGGGAAAACATGATAAACGTTGTCATTTTACTACGGGTTTTAGCGAAAATGTCGTTTTGACAAAAGCAAGTTGTCAAGTGCTTAACCCCCCTCAATTAAAATAACTATGCTAACGTTCCTAGTGGAAAAGACGGACAATGAAGCTTACTGGTGTGTCTTTTATTTTTGACGAGAAGCTAAAAAAGACTTTACGTCAAATCTCTTTCTTGTAGTCGTCCTCCTCCTTCAATCTTAAGGTCGCTAATGTATCGTGCATCAACAAGCACTCTCGTACTCAGCGCCTCGCGGCTTTTTGGTAACGAACAAGTCTAATGAAAAAAACGAGAAGGGTTGATTGTTTAATAAATTCTCCTCAGTGGTACCCTAGTCGTCACACAGACCACGTGACCAAGAGAAACGACGGGCGAAAATTAAGAGCAACAACATTGCAAAAGCTGCTCCATGCCTCTGTTTCAAAACGAGAGTTAGTGTAACGCCATTGACATGAATTTTTTTTATCTCTTGCAAATAAAACTCATTATCACAAGGAAGGTTTTGCATGTAGCCTCGACTAAAAAGTGAGATTTTTTGGAACTCGGAAATGGCCTCGCTTAGAGCAACAATAGATGAAATGCTCATGAAGAAAACGCTAAGATTGACTAACAGTTAAGTTTAAAGAAAACGATCACTAAGTAAAAGGGTTGATTGCCTAACAACTTCTCCTCAACAGTACCATAGAAAATGTATCAAGAGAAGCAAATGAGAATATGCATGTTCAAATTACGGGCAAGAAGTGTTTTTGTTACCTGTATTTTGATTTTGCAACAATAAGAGGCAAAATAACACAAACCAACATCTCTAATACCAGAAAGAGCAGCACAAAACAAAATCCCACGGTGTTTCTCTTTACTGTTCTTCTTTCGTTTCTACCTTCTTCGGGGAGCCTAGGCGTTAATTCAGGGCCAAGAGTGGTGGAAACTTCTTGTATTGAGCATGCGCATGAATCTGTGACAGAGATCAAGACAATGACGTCATTAAGTATTGTCACTCGATGTTTTCTCCCGCATGGCTTGACTGGGTTTTGAACGAACTTAGATTCTAGGCTGGATAGAGTAAAAGCATTGAAATAAGCTCAGCTAGTATGAGTTTGTACTGATGACTAATTGAAAAATGTGAGGGAAAAAAACGACAACAACAACAACTAAAAACAAACAACATTTTCCATCTTGGCGCCTGACACGTTTCCTATCGAATACCTCATTTTGACAGCTGCAAATAAAATTGACTTGTTATATAGAACGCATATATCACTTCATAAAAGAGTGACATAGCGTGTCTTGAATCAGTTTCATGTTTGGCTAAACGACGGTGGACGGTCGGTCGTGCATTACCATCAATTCAAGTGGGCTCAACGCGCAGGCGGAGGTGGCTAAACACAGTTTTGCAGGCGGTCAGCGGTAACTCGCGTGACGGCGCGTGTTTTAAATTAGACAAAACTTACATGGCGAAAAAAGCAATGTTACACAGAAGAAGATTTCTCAAAATCTACTCATTAAAATCTTGTGATATTTAGCAGAATTTTTACTTTTAACGTATTTTAGATAATGAGAACTTTAAAATGGAAGTTGACAGATGATTTTTTGACACATTTAATAATTACACTACAATTATACTATTCATTGATTATCTAAAACCCGTTTGTTAAATTTGGTCAAATAAGTTTCAAACGGTAATGATTAATTATAGTAAGCTGTGTGCAAGTTTATAGGAAAATCTAATGAGTGAATTTTATGTAAACAGAGCAAAAGTGAAATTTTAAGGTTGTATTCAATCGTTCATGTTGCCATGAAACTACAAAAACGTCAAATTTTTCCTGTCAATCAAAATCTTTCATCAATATATGCCATGAGTTGACAAATGACATATACTCACAAACTGCCAAAACTGTGTTCAGCCACCTTAAACAGAAAATTTCGGTTGCGTGTCCTTTGGAAAATCTGCAGTGGTTGTCTGTTACCTGTTTTAGCACCGCATACACTCGGCAACAAACAGTAAAGAGCCTTGATGCTTCCATGTCCTTTCAATCTGGTTAGTATATTGTACTGTTTGGTGGTGCGACGTCGATTCTATATAAAATGAGAAACACGATACACACATAATTAAAGTAGTTTTCATCACAAAACTCGGAATTTTTTTGTAAGATGTAGCATGGTAATTGTAAGGAGTATTTCAAATGATCCCTAGTGATTTATGTAAAATGTCAAAAAACAAGGGGATGCTTCAGCAATAGTTCCAAACACCGAGGAACCCGTGATGAAGCACGAAGCCTGTGTTTTTGACATGTCTTCTAAAATGAAACAATTAGAAATTATGAGGTGACATGTTGTGTCTGGTATTTCATTCTTTCCATGAGTTATGTTAATCAATAAAACACCTCATTAAAATGCAAGTGTTTGATCCCAGATGCAAAACATGTTTCATATCAGATGAAAATCTGGTACTGTTTTATCTGGTGTTTAATTAGGTAACAGGATTCATCCACCTGACATAATGGTGGTCATTTATTGGCTTTTGACTGAATGGATAATGATTAGCTTGAGAATGAAGAAAGAAAAATACCTTGAGGCTGATTTCCAATCCTATTTCGTATCTACTTGACTCATGCTGTCCTTCGACGTTACCTCTAATCGTAACCTTCAGTCTCTCTTGATAGATAATATCCACTGGAATCTGGGCGCCTTGTTCTTTTCTGTGACGTTGCTTACGTTGAGTCACATTACAGGCTTCTGTGATATCTGGGAATTTCGTTTCGCTTAGTAGAGAGGCTTCGCAGTCAGTTTGATTGAACATCAAAAGGATTCCTTCATATTCTGATAAAGGAGCA